TCTTTTGGACGATTGGAAGTCTTCCAACAAGATGAAACTAGCTGACCTGTCGTTCACCTCATTCCACGATTTCAGTGGATTTTCCAACAAATCATTTAGGAACTAACCAGGTTTTAGGCCATGTAACAGGGCAGATAGGCAAATCATGTCAGGTACATTATCAATGTCTAAGGTGGCCTTGTTAAAGCACTGTATGTAATCTTTTAGTGACTCCCCTTTCTTTTAGTGGATTTGCATTAGTTTAGTGGCTATGTGCTTTATTTCTCGTTGGCTCACAAACTTGTTGAAGAATAAAGTAACGAGCTGAGGAAAAGAGTTGATAGAGTGTCTAGGGAGTTTGTGATACCATCTTCTAGCAGTCGACTTTAAAGTAGCTGGAAATACTTTGCACATCATGGCATTTGTTGCGTTTTGTATCTTCATGATGGTTTGGTAGGTATGTAAGTGTTCATCTGGGTCACCAAAGCCGTCATATGTTTCTAAATGAGGAATCTTGAACCCTTCTTGATAAGGTTTTGTAGTGATGGACACGCTAAGAGGGGCACTATCCAGGTTAGGCGCTTGTTGACGTGACCTGGGACTCCTCAGCTCGTCAATGGATTTCTGTATACCCTCGAGCTATTTTTCAAGCTCATTATTCTTCTTTAGCAACTCCTTATTGAGCTTTGATGAGTTGGGTTCGAGGTTCAATTTCCCGCTTCTTGTTGGTTTGGTTGGTACGGCTACATTGCTCAAGGCGGGGGAATTACGGGCAATAACTTTTGCAGGTTGGCCACCCCTATTTATCAAAGGAATTAAAGGGTCATCAGAATCAAATGGGAAAGGATTCTTCCCATAGCCATTTCTAGAACCCTAGTTCTTTCTTTTAGCTTGGACATCCGAACTGATTCCAAAGGTCTATTAGATTGTGGTGTATTGCGGATAGGGTGTCTTCGCCACGTGCCTCCCGAAATCTGAAATTGTTCCTTGGGCTGAGTGGCATACCTAGTGGGCATCCACTCATCATTGAAACTACTTAATTGTTCTTCTTCTACTCCCCTTACAAAAAGGTTTCTTGGCATCAGTCGAAAGTTGTTGAGGTTAAACTCAGGGAGCTAAGTATTCCTCTGATCGTCTGTTCTATCCAATGGTGGAGGCTGACATCCTGTAAAAGTGCGTACCATGTTTAACTTTAGTTAGTAAAGCAACACCACTTCTTCATTACACTTCCCATAGACGGTGCCAAATGTTTGGGCAGCTTCACGAACTTACACTGTAAAGATCTCCAACTACTCCAACACTTGAAAAACTTCCTCGAGAAGATGTCTCGACACTCAAGTTAGCAATAATCAATATTCTAGAGAGAGAGGCTCTCAAGATTAATTATAAGGAGAGAGAAGCGTAGTGGAGTTAATACCTTGAATGGAGGTAGGTATGGGTATTTATAGCCCCTTTTGATGATGTAAGGTTTCACGTGTAAATACCTGGTTAACCCAAGTATCAACATCCACATGAGTATATCTTGATGAACGTGTCCACATTTAGAGTTGTCCTTGGACGTTTGTGTGTGCCAATGAGCTTATTGTGCTGAGCCCACAGTGAGTGTTGGGCCTATTCCCCAACACCCACCTTATCCCATGGGAATGTTGGGATTAAAATGATTTTTTAAGCATGGGATTGAATAAAAGACTAGATATAATTCATCTCATCCTAAGTACCCTCCAAACGTGGGATTAGGTTGGATGGGACACATTTTTTATCCCATCCGGCATTTCATCTGGTGCTCCAAACGAGCTGTACATACATGTCATCCCTAATAACTAATAAGGTGTTACTTACTCTATGGAATTGTATTGGCTGAATGTAAAAAAATTTGTTGAAGTGTATTTTAAACTTTAGGTTTTTCTTGTTTTGATTCTCTTGCTTTCCTTGTATTATTGGTCTTCACATTTGGATGAAAATTTAAGAGAATATACATTTCTATGCTATCTTTGGAACATGTAGCGTTCGCATTTTGATCGCATCGTAGCATATTGTGATGGGAAAAAAAAACAGAAAATTTTAGATCCCCCTACAAAAAGGTTTCTTGGCATCGATCGAAAATTGTTAAGGTTAAACTCAGGGAGCTGAGTATTCCTCTGATCGTCTGTTTTATCCAATGGTGGAGGCTGACATCTTGTAAAAGTGCATACCATGTTTAACTTTAGTTAGTAAAGCAACACCACTTCTTTGTTACACTTCCCATAGACGGCGCCAAATGTTTGGGCAACTTCACGAACTTACACTGTAAAGATCTCCAACTACTCCAACACTTGAAAAACTTCCTCGAGAAGATGTCTCGACACTCAAGTTAGCAATAATCAATATTCTAGAGAGAGAGGCTCTCAAGATTAATTATAAGGAGAGAAGTGTAGTGGAGTTAATACCTTGAATGGAGGTAGGTAGGGGTATTTATAGCCCCTTTTGATGATGTAAGGTATCATGTGTAAATACCCGGTTAACCCAAGTATCAACATCCACATGAGTATATCTTGATGAACATGTCCACATTTAGAGTTGTCCTTGGACGTTTGTGTGTGCCAATGAGCTTATTGTGCTGAGCCCACAGTGAGTGTTGGGCCTATTCCCCAACACCCACCTTATCCCATGGGAATGTTGGGATTAAAATGATTTTTTAAGCATGGGATTGAATAAAAGACTAGATATAATTCACCTCATCCTAAGTACCCTCCAAACGTGGGATTAGGTTGGATGGGACACATTTTTTATCCCATCCGGCATTTCATCTGGTGCTCCAAACGAGCTGTACATACATGTCATCCCTAATAACTAATAAGGTGTTAATTACTCTATGGAATTGTATTGGCTGAATGTAAAAAAATTTGTTGAAGTGTATTTTAAACTTTAGGTTTTTCTTGTTTTGATTCTCTTGCTTTCCTTGTATTATTGGTCTTCACATTTGGATGAAAATTTAAGAGAATATCCATTTCTATGCTATCTTTGGAACATGTAGCGTTTGCATTTCGATCGCATCGCTGCATATTGTGATGGGAAAAAAAAAACAGAAACTTTTAGATCTATTTAAAGAAGCACAAACTTAATAGAAATATTTCTATTGGTAAAAAGTAGAAAATTGTTTGGATGATAAGATAAACAGAAAATCGTCCACAATTAAAAGTCAAACTTAATGAGATTAGAGAAAATGTTTGATAGTAGTAGAAAAATACCTACATACAAGGCATTGTTTATGGCGATAGAAGTTAGCCAAAACTTGGACGTTCGGAAACTTAGTACTACTACTTTTTTTATTAAATTTTTTGGTATTTAAAAGTTATATTAAACTTTAATTATTTTGGAGTCGAGTTGAGTGGAATTATATAAGAAGAGTAGCTCTTTCAGCGCTAATCTATCCACTCACAATTTTTGAATTTGAAAATTTATTTAAGAGAGATTTAGTTTTTTATTTAAATTAACAGATCATTAGTAACTTAGTATTATTAATAATTTATGACTTAAGAATTTTTTGTCTAATAAAATAAGGGTAATCATTCATTGATAAAATTTAATATGTATCTCTAATTACTAAATAAGGGACCAATTCTTAGTTTAACCATAACAAAGGCAAAAGAAATTAACGGGCATGGATTGTCCTGTACCCTTCGGCCTCAATCGGTCTAGAAGAAGACCGTCGACCACCTAATAATAATCCTTCCAGGAAAAGTTTCAACGGTATAAAAGTTGTCTTTGTTCTGTTTGAAGAAAGAATAATTCGGAGAGAGATTTTATTGTATATTCTCTAAATAATAGAATTTGTCTAATTTGTGCTAATATGGACGAAGCTTCACCAAGATTTTAGAAGGTCGGGGCCAATTTTTCTATCACAAACAAATATACTATAAATTATAAGATAGAATATACTAAAAATTTATCTTAAATTAATTGGTTTTCAATTTCAACATTGATAAATAATTTTCTCTCTTTAACCTTATTTTTATCCCTTAACTTTAATTCACCCAGCTCATATTTTGAGTCTAATTTTTATATGTAAATTAAATATTTAAAAATGATAAATATGATGAGTCTTTTAGATCGAGTTTACAATAGTTGCGTGTAAATTAACCAACAGTCAAATATTTCTAATTAAATATTTCTTAAAAAAACCCAAAATATAATACACAAAATAAAGTGAAACAGAAAAAGTATATCCCATTATGATAATTAGGGCTACTTGGTATAGTAGTTAAAATTCAATAGGTAGTGAATGGTGGATAGTAAATATCTGATAGCGATAGTGGGTAACAGGTGTCGATTAACAAATACCATGTGATTGATAGTGAAAAGCAAATAATGAATAGTAAATTGCAGATTTTAATTGATATAATTGTTTAGTTATACAGTGATTAATGTCTGTTATTTAATATTAAATGATTAATAAAGATATATCGAAAAGTAATTAAGTGTATTTTTTCTTTATATATATATTTATTATTAAAGTGATTAATTTTATAAAAATAATAATAAAAAATAAATAAGAAATATTATAAAATTATAATCACACATTCATTTTTATTTTTAATGAAAAATTTATATTATTTCAAATAAAAAAAAATTAATTATTTTATCTAATAAAAAAATTCTATTTATTAAGCTATATAAGTTTTTATTATAAATTAATGTCAAAAATAAAAATATTATAATCACTTTAGGTTATGATATGGGACTCTTTATTTTTATTTTAAGGAAAAATATCATTGGACCACTTAGAATCAACATATTACTTACAGAATTACTAATTTGAAATATACTTCACATTAAGGATGACTTGAGCATGGAATTTGACGATGCAGAGTCTGACATCAATATTTACAATTACAAATTTAAGGGCTTATTTGAATTTAGGTCGAAATTTAGAGACTAGCCATGCAATAAGGCCAAGCAAAATATATTAACTTGACAGTGGCCACTGAAACGCAAAACCCCAGCTGGAGCAGAATTCACGGATGTTCTCCCTTCAGTTTCTTATATCTGCGATTTGCAGGTCTGAGGAGTAAGGTCTTTCTTTATGCGAGTGATTTTCTTTTCTTTTTAAACCTGTTGTGGTGTGAATTTCCTGGAATCATACTGGATCTTGAATGCATTGTGTTTTGTAATAAAGATGTAAATTTTCTCTGAAGTTACATATTTTGTTTAATTCTACACCTTGAATGTGATACGTAAACGAAACTATGTCATGGGTTATGAAGAAATGTATTCTCGTCTGGAAGGGTACTTAAATCCTAGTTATTTCTGTGTTTTAACTGGATACGAATATGCCTGCTTCTTGTTTGATGAAATGCCTCCATGAACTGTGTGCCCTTAATAGAACCAGAGTCTGGGGGGAGATCAAGTTACATTATTTTTTCTTTGAAATCGGATCAGAATAAGATAACACTTATCTAGGTCCTATAAAAGAAAATAGGAAGTCATCTTACAATTGGATATACTTGGTCAAATCAATTAAGAATTTGGTATTGTTCGTAATTTGAGATATACTTAAGTGACAAGTTTGGTACTTAAATACTCATATCTGAAGAGAAGTGTTATTTTCTCCTCTGATTATTTGATTAGATTTTTATTTTCTTTTCTTTTCTTTTCTTCTCATGGCAAGGTTTTTAAAACATGTCTCACTGGTAAAAAAACCTGACTTAGCTCTAAAAGATTCTTTTTCTTTTTATCTTTTATTTTTATGGTAATGTTATTCTCATGATGTTTTCTATAGTTACTTTGAAGTTGAGATGATATAAATTGGCAATGGAGAGAAAAGATGATTTGAGTTGAAGAAGACCCGAGTACTAGAAGCCCAAGCAAGAAATATAAGTCACAATGTTCACTATATAGAGTGTGGAAGTCAATCCATTGAAGATTCACAGGCAGATATTGCAATTCTCCTCAGAAAGGTGACTTTTTTCTTTCACATCCAAGTGATCAATTATCTCCTGTACAACCAGATTGTTTCTTTCATCATGGCTAATAGTTAACTGCCTGCCAAAAATTTACAACTTCAGCCATTGCTAAACTACCTAATTCTTTGATTACATGTCGAGAAACTTCTGGGGCTTCTTGTGCAATAAACTAGAACTGGTTCATCTCCATCAGGTTGGTTAATTAGCTATTTACATAAATGACAGGTGGTAAAAAGGTTTGTTTAAAGTAGTTGCGAATGACACCACTTATTTGTTTCCAGCAAGATGCCTCTTTTTTTGATCTCCTTGTCTTTTTATATTCATTAACATCTCCAAATCACCTCTTTAAATGCCTTTCCATCAGCTTCTATTAACTTTAAGAGCAATTTTGTAGTCATTTCTCTCAGACCACAGTTCAGGGCCCATGTATATTCTATGATGTAAAAGCCTTTTAGTTTTTTAAATCTTTCATCATGCTGAGAGCTTGTATTTCAGCTGCTACTAGCAATTTTAATGTTAAATCCAATTCTTTTATCCTTCACTTTTAGCCCCTTAATTAAACTGGCCATTGGCAGAGCTATTATGCATTGCAATATATTTATGTATTCCTCACATAAACCATTTCAATTTGTTCAGCATTAAAAAAAATTTGGATGCATCTTAAGTAAGCAAGTTTAGGTGGCAGAGTGGAAGTAAGCTTTAGGCCGATTTCCAGACTGCCCCACCACCAATTTGGCCTTACTCCTAGACAATATTGATGTTCTCTATGGTCTATAAAACCCCAACTTTTGGTATCCCATAAAAGTTATGGTGCTCTGTCTACCTTTCCAAAGTTATCATCAACTAAACCTACATCTTCTTCCATGTTAATTCATTGCGGAGATGGAATTTGGGTTGTGAATTGACTATTTTTACTTCTTTCTCTCCTAAAGATATTATTTTTGCCAAAGTTTAATTGTATTTCTGAACTCTTTCTAGATAATTTTAGTTTCTTGATGCTTCCCTTGTAATCTCATAGCAACTTCGCAAATGAGAAAATTCTGATCCTAACGTTATTGTTGCAGTTGATTTGTGATGAAATTCAAGCTGGAAAGACTGACAGAGATTTATAAAAAGCTTGAAGAGGATTTTGGGGAGACATTACTTTATGCCCCAAAGTTTGATATGCAGACAGCAGCCTTGTGGCTATCAACAGCACTGACACTTGCTAGTAGTGACTAGTGAGTCTTTCTGTACATACTTAAAATTGAGTTTTGCGGACAGCTTCTAGTTGGGGGTGCTGCTGCAGGCGTCTGGGCTTACCAGAAGCACAGGCAAAAAACTAATGTCCATATCATGGCTTTAAACCTTGTTAGAGGTGTTCCATAAAACATAGTTTATGAACTAAAATGGTTCACAGTTGAAAGTTCAAGAACTAAATTTGGAATTTAACCTAAGAGCTATCTGAGAATTTTTTGCATTTTTCCTTTGCAAATTTCATAAACTTCTGGAGGAGGTAAAGAAGGTGATGCCTTTAAATTTTTTCGTGTTTAGTGTTGATTTATCTATTGCCCTAAATCCCATCAGATTCAACTAAATTGGTTTTGGAAAGATCGCTGACGCCACTCGTCAAATAAGGTCGTTTATTGCCACCGTTAAAGAGTTGGAGGGGTTATATGCTACTGATTTAGGCCGAGGAACTCGTCAACACGTTCAAGGGTTTTCGTTTGCATGATTTGCCATTTTTATCGGACACATTTGTTATTATCTTGTTATCTGCCAATGGCTTAACCCCCTAAGATGACCTCAAACATGTTGTCCTTTGAGGATTTCAACCCCCAACATACAATATATGTTAGCCCATAAACGTTGCGTCATTTAAACAATTGGACGAACTAATGGCAACATGTCATGAGACTTACGTACCATTTGTATTCCGTCAATGATTGTTTCATTAACGGAACGCTGGACAGTTCCACAGGCGAGAATACTGGCAAAAATCACGAGAAATCTCCCGCCCCAATGGTAATAGACCATCCAGTTAACTTTGATCCTGTAAAAAATAAACATTCTCTATAAATTAGAAGAATAAAAGTTTTTTTTTTTTTTAATAAAAAACTGTTGTATGGTTTGAATTATGTTAAATTGCATAATAGGAATTATTGAATGAGAGATGGATAACAAGTTCATAATAAAAAAAAAAACATTTATTTTATTAATTATTTAATTAAATTTATTCATGTGACAATGATATTAAAATTAATGTTAACTTTTACTTTTTTTTTTTATTATAGAAATTTATATTAAAAAGGTGCCTTATTATAACTTAGAAAAATTCAATCAGAAATTATGTCCATTAAAATTGAATGAAGAGAATAAATTTTTATGCACACCTATTCTATTTTGTACTAAATGTTGTTTTACTAATGAAAATTATTGATAATGAAATATGGTTATAACTTGCTTGCCGTGTTCAGCGTTCCATACCGCTAAAACCAAATCGTTCCATTAATATAATTATTAATGGCAGAGCAAAAAGCAAGCTTTTACAGAAGACTCGAAAACTTTAAAGGAAGGATGTTCAACTACAGGAGGGTTAAAGAAACAAGGTTACCTTCTATGCTTTTGTTTCATTTATTTTATTTATTTTTTGTCTATACACTGTATTTTAGCTAGATAGAAATTTTCAGTAATAAGCATGTAGATATATCCTCATGTGCATAAAATTACTAATAAATATGAATCCTTTCCAAATTCTCACACAATTCGCAACAATCACAACAACAGGCATCTTCAATGTTAGTTTAGTCCCCTAAATCTTATTTAAACTATTTTCATTCTCAAGTATTTTGTTCCATATATTTTAGTTATTTTCTACTTTCCTATTATTGAAGAATAGTTTAAGTGATGATGAGAAAGATAAGGAAAATAGGGATAATAAGAAAACTTTGAAAAATGTAAAAGCCATTGAATAAAAAATTATTCCAATATCATTTTCACAAAGTGTTCGTTAACTCACTAATAATCTTTTGTTATATGGTCTAGTATTATTTTACTCAATATATGTTCATCCTTTCCTTTTATTCATATTCAATCACCATTAAATTATAGTTGAAGACTAATAAATTTTACTTTATAATAATTTTCTTTTGTTTTTTCAATTTCTCTTTCATCGCAACCGATCGATGCACAAATTGCACCCTTTCTTAATCAAGGATTTGCTTTGTTCCATTAAAAAATATTTCTAACTCTGCCATTGATCATTAGGGAAAATGAAAATGAAAACAAGGATGCCCCTACAACAGAAAAGGGTGGCTTCATCACCATTTTTTTCACCTATAGGTACGTGTGAAAACTATAAAATGAGATCGTTTCCATTCCTTCGCATTGAGTCAAACGGTTGGCAATCACACAGTTTTTTTTCAAGCTTTGAATAATCACTGTTCTGGGTGTTCACTAAACTAAAATAGCTAACATGTGAAACCTTTTAATATGGGCTAAATACCCATATAAAATACACATAAGCATGTACTGTCTACATGGGTTTTTCGAGTTTCTTTACTGATTTCTTGTTGAAATGGTGAATTCCATGATCTGGTGTTGAGTTTTGAAATCTTGATTTTGATGTATTAACTTGTGAAATTACAGTGAATGAGCAATTCCAGAAAGTGGTGTCCTATGGGGGCTGCTTTCCAATATGGTAATCTACCTAACCAAGGAGTATCGCATGACCACCGCTAAGGCCAACCACGCAATGTTCTTCTGGAATGCTACAACAGATTTGCTGGCTCTTTTGTGCGGTTTCATCTCCGATTCGTATACAGGTCGTTTTTCTACCATTGGCTTCGGTTCTGTATCCAGTCTATTGGTAAAATACTAGCCTTCATCCTTGTATATATGCTAATCATTTTCCTCTTTTCTTCAATGACTTTGATGTGCTCGTCTGATATAATAATATACATTTCTTCTCAGTGGCTTCCTGTATGGTTATGAAACTTGTTGACCGTATTCTCTGCATTCTTTTATTGGGGTTAGAGATAGTAAAAGCACAAGTACTATTTATACCGAGTAATGTGTTTTTGTTCACTCGACCAAGAAAAGGATACAATTATTTTATATATAAACCAATTGCATAAATTGATTCAGGACCCTCATTTAATCGCTACACTTTTTTGTTATTCTTTAAACCTCTTTAATCTCAGGCAAAACCTTTCTCCTTTTCTCTATACGTTGGCATGGCATGTCCATGTGTAAACGTCTGTTATTTGGAACTGAAAGAATATCCATGTATCAAGGTTTAGAGAATGAGTGTGAATATCTAGTAGTTGTCTGCATCTTATCACATATTTTGGAGATTTATTTATTTTTAATGAGTTTGTCACCTACCTATGCATCCATCTATTTATCTGTTACACTTTGTCAATGCACTTGAAAAGTAAGGCAATTCTTTCTCGCGTCACGAATATCCCTTGCATCGAAATTATATTCTTTTTCTTAATTTGATTGAGGTCTTCAATTAATGCACTTGGATGCCTTGCATCATGCGGTTAAATTGAACTGCATTGCCAACTCTATTTGCAAGGGACTAATCATGCTGAACTTTGAATTGCACAGGGGACATTCCTTTTATGGTTGACAACAATAATTCCAAAATTAAAGCCTCCCCGTTGCACTGATCCATCAACTCGAAGTTGCAGATCCCCAACGACAGCACAATTGGGTTATCTCTTCTCCACGTTTTCTCTCATTTCCATTGGAGCGGGTTGTGTTAGCTGCTCCACAGCCTTCGGAGTTGATCAATTCAAACCAAAAGATAAGAGGTCCTTAGAGAGATACTTCATGTACTACTACGCGTCGTTCTCCTTTCTTCTTGTAATTACTGCGACAGCAACTGCTCACATGCTAGATTAATTTGGATGGGAAAAAGGCTTTAGATTTCCGTTGATCCTGGTAGTCCTCTTTGTTATCACGTTCTTCCTTCGCTCTCCCCGCTATTTTAAGGAGAAACCGGAGAAAGACCTGTTTACCAGCTTTGCCCAGGTGATCGTGGCTGCTTTTAGAAACAGAAGCCTCTCGCTTCCCCCCACAAA